GGTTAATGTTTGTTTGCCTTTATCAATGGCTGTTTAGATTGCCTACATAAGTCGCGAGATACCGAGTAGTATTCTCTGTGTTGCCGGCATCCTCGCATATTATCATTGTTTAGACGAAATACTAATACAAATAAGCGACCTGACCATGACTTCTTCTATGGGCGCGAGGTGAAATGTTAACCGGTATGGAGTGCACCTCACATCAGCCGCTTGAGAGCTTCTGGTCGCCAACTTTCTCATAGTAACCCATAAGTTGGATTCGAGGTACACTCAGGAAATTGACCGGAGTTCATTTAAAAGAACACATTAGGAAACATATGGTTTGCTGGGTTCAGCATCCGGCCTTTACAGGAACATAGGCAATTAAAATATGGGAGATTGATAGGGTGTAAAATTGTCCCATGATCCCCACGATGCCCGCATGTTGAGTTCATTGAGGCATGGATTGGGAAGAGGAAGGGTAGGCGGTGAGCGCTATTCATTTATCTCTTTAGCACCCCATTTCACCGAAATGCAGAGGCCCAGTTTTGCAGTTCTTTTTTCCTATCACTTTTTAATCACTTTTTCCTGAATTTCTCCTTACTGCAGAACGAAGCCCTGTTGGAAACCTACATGGATATTTATGATATAGTCCTGACGGACAATGCGACATTTAAGATACCGCTGGAAGTGCTGAACTGCATCGTTCATTCAGAATCGCTGGACGTCTGACCTAGCCCAGAATTGCCTGCGACTGTGGACCTGCAGTGCAGAAGCTCAGTGATTTCCATTACATTGACTTAACAATGAATCGTCTGGTCATTTTATCGTACCACTTTTCTTCTTCTTCTCTTCTTTTACCATCCTTCTTTTAACGCTCTTTCGTGTCATCTGTCGCCTTACCCCAACTTCTTCACCTGTTCAGGGACCTGTGCCATAGTTTTTTGATCCAATAACTTTATAAATTGCATATCGCAGTATCTGCACCTCAACCCACCCCGCCAGTTCTTTTTTACAGACTATCCCATTGTTTTTTTAGAATTTTGTACGCTACCCATTTATCCCTGTATACCCGTGATTTACGCGCGTATCGGATGTCTCATCAATTTTATTTACTGTTCCGGTTAATTTGTCTAAAGTTTCCAAACTTTCTTTGGTAAAAGTAGGTTGTACAACCCTATCTCGCTACCGGTAACCACAGACTCATGTAAAACGGAAGTGCTGGTATAACTGAGTTTTTATGATCGGGGAAATAAGGAGTATGTTTAAGTGCACTAAGCGGGTTACGAAGCAGCGCGCATTTTTTTTTAAACGGGGTGTCATAACTATAGTTTCTCGAAGTGTCTAGCAAAGTGCTTGCGGTCGCTAAGCGACCTATTTCCCGAAACTTTAACCAATCGGCAGTGGCTATTTAGAATCAATAACTTTATGATTTACTTGGTTGGTAATTAATTAATAATTAATAATAATACCAACTGACGGTTATTATATCACAAGGACCAAGCCCATCTAGTACTCCCAAGGCATAGTCAAGTTTAGTTGGCCTTTATGAATAAGTAATTAAGTCACAGCGTACACCTTCGCAAATGGAACCTGATTTTAGTTGGTATAGAAGCTCAAACTCACAAAGGAATACAGTCCCTAGGTAAAAACAAGACAAGGCTTTCTATGAAAACTGTATTTAATCCAGTGGGGCTGCAGGAGTTGTCCTTACCCTTCCTTTTGAACACGCGCCAGCATTATCATCACAGTCTCCTCGTCCATCTCTCACTCTACCCCTCCCCTATCCGTCAATAATATTTCTTATTGAAAAGTCGTATTGGCAAACAGCTGTTTTCGGTCATTCACTTCAGGCCCTTACAGTGACAGCGCGTAAAGCGGGCGTTTCGGTACGGTGCTAATATTGTTCTTGAGGTGGGAGGAGGGGGGTAATTAGTCATCGTTCCCTCGTCTCCTGCGTGCCGGAATCAGCATGCCGAGGACATTGGGTTGTCACGCGTGTGGAGCGGGGGAGGGGCGTTCTCACGGTCGATGTCAGACGCGAGGCGTG